TTCCTGGTCCAGACCTCCCACTGCTGTGGACAGGCAGTGGCAAGCACAACCCCAGGCTCATACTACAAGAATACCAATAAAGAGAATAATTGCTGCTGCTTTCATTGCACCCCTGTGGTGGCCAGGTACTCCTGAGCCGAACCTGCCTGGGGCATGGGGGTGGCGGTTTAGGTTTATAGAGGAAGCCGAAGCCGACTCAGAGTGAAACTTCTTGCCCAAGGTCAGAGTGTGTGAGCAGGAGGCGGATATCCCCTTCCTTCCTCTCTCTCCACGTGCTCAGCTCTCCTTGTTGGACTCATCTGGCCTCAGTGGGGAGAAAGGGGTACTCTGTGAAGGAAGGGGGTGTCTCGGGGACTCAGAAGGCCCAACCCCAACCACAGAGGGTTCCTCTGAGAGCTCAGCCCTACTGTAAAGGTTCTGGGGATAGAACCCGGTCCCCGGCTCAGTGTCAGTCCAAAGGAAGCAAGCCTCTGCTCTTTCCCGTTCTTCCTGAGGAAGGAGGCTGTTCTCACCTATGGGTCTTCATGATCTAAGGGTTGTGGTAGGGGAAGGACTGCATGGTGGTTCAGGGCACTCCTCTGTGAAGGAAGACTATACTTGGAGGGTTGTACTGCCGCAGCTGCAGGATGGCCCCTGGCTGGAGTGTGACAGCCGGTGGAAGCCTTCAAGGTGGGGGCCTCCTGTCCCTTGTGTGTACTGTTCCTTCCCTCCTCCATTTGGCAGTGTGTGAGGCCAAGTGCAGCCTGGTTCTCAGGTGCGGACAAGTGGTCTGAGGGGCTGAGGCTCCAGCAAGAGGCTCTCTGTCTGCACTTTTGTGTTGGAATCTGCACCACCGGGTGTCAGGCTACACACTCTCTGCCACTTGGTGAAGTCCCACCTATCCACCTGAGTACTAACCAGCAGCCTCTGGAGCCCAGCCAGGATGCCAAGGAAGCCCTCAGAGGCACTGACATTCCTGGGAGGGGCCCTCTAAACTGTGCCGCCATCTGCACCTTCCTGCCTTCGTGGCTTCTGGGAAGTTCTAGGTCCTGCCTTCTTGGGGCTCATGGGCCTAGGAGACAACCAGAGTGGCAGAACTGGGGCAGGGAAGGTGGAGGCAGGGTGGTGCCTCACCCAGACCGGAGGTCAAGTGGAGCTTCCTGAGAGGGGACATTTGGACTTCGTGACAGAAGTCCAGGAAGGACTGCTGAGCTGCACCCCCAGGACCAGCTGTACTGCCTCTGGTCTTGGTCTCTCCCTGTCCCCCAACCCCCAACCCTCTCCTCCCTTGGCCAAGTGCTTCCTTCCCCATTCATGGAGCCGCCTCTGCTCACATCCCTCTCCCATGTCTTGGATCAGGCCCTTAGGCTGTCTGAGCCCAGAGCACTTTGTCACTGTTATCTGGGATCAGATAGATCTCTCTCCTTGATACACCAGCAGTCCCTGGAGGGCAAGGCTGTGTCCCCAGATCAGTCCTGAGCTCTAGGAAGGGTGACAGACACCTTCCTCACGGTGTTGAGGGTTCAGCAAACAGTCCCTGAGTACTCTGAGAACGGTGAGGTGGGGTCAGGGCAGTAACCCCACTCCAGGTTGAAACTCAAGTACAGAGAGGGTATTGAATTTCTCCAAGTACACCCAGCCTGAAAAACCAGAGCTGGGCCGGCTTCCCATTGTCTGAGCCGGGTGCTGTGTCAGGCTCCCACCAGGGCACGTGGAGGTAGGATAGAGGCCTTGCCATTTCTACCTGCCTCAGAATTCCCATCTGCCACTTGCCATGTGACCCCAAGCGCAGGCTTTCCTTCCCTCTCTGAGCTTGAGCAACCCTCATCAGGAGATGGGCTAATGTGGCTTTCTCCCTCCGGTTCCTTGAAGATCCATGTGTCCTGGGGTGCTGTGTGGCCTCGGGTACATTGCGGTCTCCCAGCCTGGGCAGGTCTCTCAGAGCAGCCCGAGGCCCTAGTTCTGCTGTTTGTGTAACGACCTCTCGGGAGGAGGGGTCAGGCCTAACCTCTGCCAGTACAGACTGGGGCTCTGACCTTGAACTAGGCCTCTGTGGTTTGTGTCAGGTGAGCACCAGATGTTGCTTATGCTGTGGGGACAGGAGGGTCCCACAGGTTGATGGAGAGCCCAGGGCCCAGCTGTGCTCCTCAGTTCCCATAGAGTCTGACCTTTTACCCTTGGAGGGGAGTTACCCTTGTCCCTCCCCCAGCGCTTGCCCTCCTGCGCCAGCTGGTCGCCCTCCACACCTGCTGTAGCACCCCCCCGCAGCCTCAAGAGCTCCCTCCCTTCATCCTCCCGCTCTCCCCATCTCTGGACCTGTCTGCTTACTCTGGGCATCTGGACAGCCACAGGCTCGGACTGTCTCAGTTTGCCTGGCTTAGATGGAAGTGCTGGCACTCCCTGACGTGCCCCTCTGATCATGGGGAGACTTGGAGCCCTGAAGGAAGTAGCGCCCAGCCTGGACTTTGCTGGGCCGATGTGTGGATTGATTCAGGTTCTGGAGACTGTGACCTGAGCCTCAAAACCTGGGCTATGGTCAGACATTGGGGACAGGGAGGAGGGACAGAGTCCATACTGAACCCCAATCTTCTCTTGTTAAATATATATTTATTTATTTACTTTATGTGCATTGGTGTTTTGCTTGCGTGCATGTCTGTGTGAGGGTGTCGGATCTTGGAGTTACAGACAGCCGTGAGTTGCCGTGTGGGTGCTGGGAACCGAACCCAGGTCTGCTGGGAGAAGCGCCAGTGCTCTCAACCACTGAGCCGTCTCTCCAGCCCTAGTCTTCCCTTTTGTAACAAGGACCGTCAGTCTAGGGTGGATCCCCCCTACCTGTGGCAACAGGGCTTCATGCCTCCTTCTCCTCCACAGCCAAGGACTACGAGAACGCCATCAAGTACTACAGTCAGGCCATCGATTTGAACCCCAACAATGCTATCTACTATGGCAACCGCAGCCTGGCCTACCTGCGCACCGAGTGCTACGGCTATGCCCTGGGCGATGCCACTCGGGCCATCGAGCTTGACAAGAAGTACATCAAAGGCTACTACCGACGGGCGGCCAGCAACATGGCACTGGGCAAGTTCCGAG